TTTTGGGGGGAGGGGTGTGTGGCCTGGGGTCACTTTTGGCAGGGAGGGAATTGCCTGGGATCCCAGGAAGGGGGGGGAGGGGGGGGTGTCAGTTTGGGATTGGGGTAGGGTCAATTTGGGGAAGGAAGGTGGGGCATTGTCATCATCCCCCCCCCCCAGGAAAGGGTTTGGGTCCGTTTTGAGGTGTGGGGGAGGATCATTTGGGGGGGGGAGGATCATTTGGGGGGAGGGGGGAAAGGATCGTTTTTGGGGGGGGGGAACTGCCCGCAGCCCCCAGGGCTGAGACCCCCCCCGGGAGGGGCAACAGGGGTGTGTGTCCCCCCAAATTTCACTTTATAGCACCATGAATTCGGCAGCTCAAACCCCCCCCCCCGGGCCCCTCCTGGGCCCCCCATTATTGCACTTGGTTTTCTCTTTTTTCCAGGTTTTGTCTCTTTTTTTTCTGGGTTAACCCCCCCCATTTTGACAGGTTTTGAATCAATTTTATCACTTAAAACTCAGCCCTGTCGGGGACACCCGGGGAGGGGGTCAGTGGCACTTGCGGGGGGGCAGAGGGGGGTCCCCGTGGTGTGGGGGTGGAAATAACTCCCCCAAAGCAAAATAAACCCCTAAAATAACCCAAAACTTCAGGTTTTAGCCCCAAAGAAACATTTGTCAAAGTGCTCCTGGGGTGAGAAAAGGGGATTTTTGGGGGGGAAAGGGGAAAAGGGGATTTTGGGGTAAGAAAAGGGGATTTTGGAGGGAAAAAGGGAATTTCGGGGAGGGGCAAAGGGGGGTTTTGGGAGTGGAAAGGGGGTGGAGGCAGCTGAAAAAGGTCAAACCAACAAAAGCACCCCCAAAATTATAAATTTGACATAAAACCCCACTAAATTAAAAAAAAAAATTAAAACTGTAAACCCCCCACTGTTCTTTTGCTTCTTTCTGGGGGGGGTCTGACCCCCTCCATGGTAAGTGCTCTTTGAATTTTGGGGGGGGGTAGAGAGGGGTCACCCCCAGTGCAGGGGTGGGGTGGGGTCCCCCCCATGTTTAGGGAGTGGGGTCCCCTCTCTCTAAATTAGGGGTGGGATCCCCCCCTCCCCCAAGTCAGGGGTTGCTTGGGGGTCCCCCCAATTGCTTTAGAGGGTGGGTGGGGGTCTCTCCCCCCCACCCCCAATTCAGGGAGGCGGAGTTTGGGAATTGCACAAGAGAGTTGGGAATGTTGAGGAAAGGGTCAAAAATTCAGGGAAAAAATGGGAATTCCTTAAAAATCTCATTGAACCTTAAAAAACTGGGAAAAAAGCGTTGGGAATGGGGGGGGAGGGTGAGGGAGAGGAGGAGGAGGAAAAGGAAGAGGAGGAAGAAGAGGAGGAAGGTGAGGGGGAGGAAGGTGAGGAGAAGGATGAAGAAGGTGAGGAGGAGGATGAAGAAGGTGAGGGGGAGGATGAGGAAGGTGAGGGGGAGGATGAGGAAGGTGAGTGGGAGGATGAGGAAGGTGGGGATGAGGAGGATGAAGAAGGTGGGTAAGGGCCCGTGAAGGTTTAAGTGCAAATCGAGCGTTTTCTCACGGCTCATTCCTTGGTTTGGGGTGTCCCTGACACCTCCTGGGGACACCAGAGACCCCCCAGTGCCACCCCCAGGGGACACCAGTGACACAGGGGACCCCAAAGACCCTGGTGCCAATCAGGGACCCCCTGCACCCCCCCAGGTGACACAGGGGATGCTGGTGTCACCTGTCACCATTCCCAGGGGACACAGGTGACATCAGAGACCCCAGTGCCACCCTGTCACCATTCCCAGGGGACACAGGTGACATGGGCAAGTGGCTCCAGAACATGCAGGGATTGGGACAGGATTGGAGATAGGACTGGGGACAGAGGGACTCACCAGGCCTGAGGCCACCCAGCTTGGCTTCACCACCTGCCCCAGAGGGTGATAGGGACAGGAACACCCCGGGGTGGCACCTCAAGGGGTCCCTTTGTGTCACAGGGAGGGAACCCCGGGAGCGGGTCCAGCTCCATCCGTTGGTCCCAGGGACGTCCAAGGACACCCAGCAGGCTCCGGATAAGGGAGCCCCAGGGTCGGGATGGGATCCAAAGGGTCGGGATGGGATCCATGGGGTCAGGATCGGTGTCTCCTGGATCCTTCTGGAGCCCAGGGGGTTGGGACATGCCAGGATTGGAGCCGAGGGGCTTTGTGATCCCCAGGATCGGAGCCAAGGGGTCGGGATCAGCATCTCCTGGATCCTTCTGCGGAGCCAACAGAGTTGTGGTGCCCTGGGATGGGATCTGAGGGGTCGGGATCAGCGTCTCCTGGATCCTTCTGCGGAGCCCAGGGGCTTTGTGATCCCTGGGATGGGATCCGAGGGGTCAGGATCAGCGTCTCCTGGATCCTGCAGAGCCAAGGGGGTTGTAACACCCCGGGATTGGATCCAAAAGGGTCAGGATCGGCGTCTCGTGGATCCTTCTGCGGAGCCCTGGGGGTTGGGACACCCCGGGGTTGGAGCTGAGGGGGTATGGGATCCTTGGGATGGGAGCCAAAGGAATTTATGGCTCCCAGGGTTGGAGTCAAGGGGGATGTGACACCCTGGAATCGGAGCTGGGGGTGCTGTGACACCCTGGGATTGGAGCTGAGGGGGTTTGGGACCCCCGGGATTGGAGCCAAAGGGGGTTTGGGACCCCTGGGATCGGAGCCAAAGGGGGTTTGGGACCCCAACTCCCCCCGGAATCAGCACAGGCTGCCCTTAAATTCCCCCCCATGGGGCCTGGAATTCTGGGAAGGTGCCCTGCCAAAGTCTTCTGGGAAAGGGGTAAAAAAGCTTTAACCATCCAGGGAGCGAAGGAAAATGGGAGGGGGGATAAGGAAAAAAGGGCAAAAAACCAATCCACAACACAAGGAAAAAGCGTCGGCAATACAAAACCAGCGGCCAGCGGCCGGAGCCGCCCCAGCCTCACGCCCAGGGAGCGATCCCTGCTGGAAAACCAAGGGAATTGGGGCTGGGAGAAGGAGCGGGCGCTGTCTGAAGTGGGGGTGGGGTCGGTTTGTCTGTCTGTCTGTTTTCCCAGGTGGGATTTTTTCCGGTTTCTCGTCGCGTTTTCCCGGAGCGGAGGCCCCAGTCCGGCCCAGTCTGGCCCAGTCCGGCCCAGTTGGCCCAGTGCAGGCACTGCAGGCGGGTGGGGGCAGCGGGCGCTATTTCTGTCCGCTGATGGCCTGGGATATGGAGCGGGGCGGGATCATATCCAGCAGGTATTCCCGCTGCCGGTCCGCCAGGCTCGACGCTTTGTGGCCGCCGATCCCGGCGTTCAGGTAGGCGATGTTCACCCCTGCGGGACATGGACCCTCGGCACCCCAGAGCTGGAGCGTGCCAAAACCCACCACCCCCTCCTTGGGATCGGGGGCAGGAGCAAGGTGGGAATTCCCAAAGCTGGCTCGGCAATCCAAGGGGCACAGCAGGGCCTGTCCTATCCCATCCTGCTCAGCCCATCCCATCCCATCTTGCTCATCCCATCCTGCTCATCCCCTTCCATTGTGCCATCCCATGCCATCCCATCCTGCTCATCCCATGCCATGCCATGCCATGCCATGCCATGCCATGCTATGCCATGCCATGCCATCCCATGCCACTCATCCCATCCCATCCCATCCCACCCCTGTCCCTGGGAGGGTCCGTACCTGGCATCCCGAGGAGTCCCCCGGCCACGGAGAGCTGCGGGGCCTGGGCGAAGTTGGAGAGCATGGAGCGGGCGGAGGTGGGAATTCCACGCTGGAGGCTGCTCTGGGGCTGCGGGGCCTGGGGGGACAGGACACAGACATGGATACACTGGGGGGCTCTGGGACCACCCGAAATGGGGGATTGGCACAGTGGGGCATCCCCATCATCCCAGCCTGTCCCCTCCCAATGATGCCATGCCATCCCACCCCATCCCGTGCCCTCCCCTCTCCCCATCCCCTCTTGCTCATCCCACCCCCCATTGCCATGCCGTTCCCACCTGCCGGAGCGTGTGGTGCCGCAGGATCCCGTCCTGTTTCCCAACGCTGGGAACGGCAGGAGCGGCCGTGGGGGACAGGGCCGCCTGCTGCTGGAGCCGCTGCTCGATCTCCTGTGCCAGGGAATGCCCAGCCCGTCACATTCCCACCTGGAATGGGCCCCTGCCCCTTTCCAGGACACCTCCCACACCCAGCACCTGGATTCCATCTCAGATTGAGTTTTATCCCATTTATCCCAGCAATCTGTAGATTCCCCATGCAAAAACAAGCCAGCGAGTGGGTAAGAGGCTTCCCAAGGGAAAACTGGAAAAGGGTAGGATGGGGCTAGCAAGATGGGATGGGATGAGCGGGATGGGATGGGCAAGTGGTTTGGGATGGGATGGGTGCTTTGGAATGGGCTGGGCTGGGTGTGTTAGCGCTCCCACTGCAGATCCCTGTTTTCCCCCAGCTCCGGCGCATCCCGGGCCTGACCTGCTCCTGCTGCAGGGCCTTGACGAAGGCGTTCTTGAGGCGGTTCGTGTGCTCAGCCTTCAGGGCCTTCTTCTGGTTGGAGGTCTGGCACTGCTCGCACAGGATGCGCCCGCCCTTCTCCTGCTTCCAGTGTGGCGTGAAATCCGTGCGGCACTGCCCGCACACGAAGGGCTCCACGCGCAGGGACACCGGGCAGCTCTTCCCTGGAATGGCACAGGGATCATGGGATACC